GTTTCTCTAAGAACAGTCAAAAACATTGCTTTAATCAGAGAACCAGGAGATTCTTGATCATCTGATATGATCATCATTAGAGCTTCTGTTTTTCAGTAGTAACATTACACAGTTCTTTTCCTTCCTAAACCTCTTCAATAAACAGGCTCCGTTAAGAGTTTTAATAACCCTTTAGACTAGATCTTCTGAAGTCTAGGTACATAAAATGGTCTGTATTGCAATTCAGTCATTCAAGTTAATCAACAGAAAACAATTAGATTGTGATGTATTATACAGAATTTATATGCAAAATAATTATTTTGATAAACAAGTAAGAATATTAAGAGGAAAGTAACTTACGAGGAACGAACTGGGATACAATCATGCTCAGGCATGGCCTAAGATGGACAGTTTGTGCTGACACCAGATTGCCAAGAAAACCCAGATATTCTTCCACTACCTCTTGGCTTCTTCTCAACCATGGTAGTTTCTGAAAGTAAATAAAGACCAAGGTGCCAAACAGATGTTTTGAGTACTACACTCTTAACCTGCCTATATAATAAATGAGTATTTACCAGCAAAATGCTGACCAGTTGCTCAAAGTCCTTGGTCAGATATGTGACAGAAGATCGAAATTCATGCAGCCAGTTAATGATCTGTGCATCCTTAATATAAGTAGGGAAAAAAATAACAAGCCTATTTTAGTAAACAACAGGACCAAAAACGATAAGATTTTTTTGAATACCAAAGCCCATAGAATCACAAGTCAAAGATTAAGACACTAAATTGAAATTATTTTCACACAATCATAGAAGGAATTTCTTGAACTCGCACCTTCACCAATGAAAATTCTTTAACACAACAATACACACTCGCCAACCAGCAGGGAAGTTTAAGTGACAAACTGAGTAAGGTATGCAAACCTCATTAACAAAGAACGTACCTGTGGCACCTAGAACCCTACTTTCCTTTTGTATTTGCTCTTAGTTTAAGCAGAGGAATAGTCAAGTATTGAAGTAAGAACCAATTCCACAGAGAAATTTTTAAACTGATTTTGGTCATACTCCCCAGAAGTTCTGCTAAAAAAGATGTATTTTACAGAACACTCTATTTAGAAAGAAAAGGAAATCCATATAACATTATCCTTCCTGCAGCATTCTTCTGACAACTGTGTGACTTAATTAAAAGATAAAAAAAGGAAAAAAAAAAATACAAAAACACCATCGATACCCAAAGCTGTAAGAAACAGCCCTGAAACTACTCCTCTAACTACTAGATACATATGAATCTTAATGCTTAATTAACTAAGTTCTTAGTGAGAGCTGAGGGAGGCAGTAACTCACAACATAAAGGCATTGACAGTCAGCAGTTATGGTTTTATCTACATTACGGAATCCGTAGAGACAGACCTAGAAAGGTGGCATCTGGAAGAAAAATCTCACCAAAAAGCACAGTTTCTCACTCTAAAGCAAAGTCAGTAAGCATGAGACAGCATTTATTAGGTTTCTGCATACGAGATATGTGTCTGCTCATAAACACACAATAGCTGCTTTTCATTACTTCTGACAGTTTCTATGAAGCAAAAAGCAGTTATATGTTAACCAATGCTTAAAACAAAGGATTTGCTTTTAAGCACCAGAACGGCTTGTGTGGTGACACTCAGACAGCTGAGTGTTAAACCATCGGCCCCAGGCCGGCAACTTACCTTTATGTCAGGATCTGACAGCTGATGCTTTAACAGCTCGAAGTCAGTGGTTTCACCCTGGCACGGGAAAGAAAAATAAATTATGCTCATTATTCTTCTAGAAAAAAAAAACATACAAAAAACATACATAAATTAAAAAAAAACAAAAACAAAAAAAAACACCATGCTTCATTAACATATCTCAACAACCTAAGAGCATTTAATCACAACGCAAAGAAACCGAGTGGCAAAGCACGAGAGGCAGCGCCAGCAGAATGCGCCCCCGAGAGGCGGAACAGCCCCCCCGCAGACATTTGCGTCCCAGCTGCTCCACACAAGCCCGAGCTCGCGAAGAGTTTCCACTGGCACAGCAGAACCACCCGGCACCAGCCCGCAGCCTCCGAGGCGGCAGAGCCAGGTCAGCACGAGCTTTCACCGGGACACGCCGCCCGCGCGGAGGGCCCTAGCCCCGTGCCGCGCACTCACCCGTTCGTACTTCAGCAGGATGTCCGTCAGCGTACCCCCGAACCGCACTGTCTTCTTGGGCGGGGAACTGATGAACTCGTCCCCCGCCAGCATGGTCACGGCTCCACGCGTGAAGAAAAGCGAAACCGGCTCAGCCCCTCCAGCCCTCGCACTGCACTTCACCTCGTCTCGCGGACGGCGACGTGCTCCGCTAGCGGCCCAGGCGGCCCTCCGCGCCACGCTACCACACGGCGCAACCGGCAGAAGGGCGCCCGCGCCCCACCGGAAGCGGGGACCGCTCCTCCCCTCGCGCCATAGAGAGGCGAGGCTGGAAGGGCGGGAACGACTCCGGCGGAGGTAGCGCGGGAGGACCGAGGGAGGTGCGGCGCTGCGTACAGAGGCGCGGTTGCTGCTACAACGTAGGGCTTCCTCGTAAAGCAAAGGTCCAGATTTGAGCGCAGTGTCACTCTGGAGCAGTCATTTTACTGAGAGGGGGAAACAAGCAAACAAAATGCAGTGGAACCCTGACGATCCTAACAATGGAGTCACGCTGAAGAAGAGCTGAATGCCATCTGAACAGAACAGAATTTGATCCTGGGAAGCTAGCAGGCACCTGATAGGACCAAGAGATGGTTGCATCTTCCAGAAACTTTTCATCTTTGCCATCGTTCTCCAAACACGCTCAACAAAACACCCCATCGACATTCCTGTCTCAGTGCAGGAACAGCTTCTCCTCTCCCACCACTAAGCACTGCATGCATAGATGGAGTCCCATTCCTCAATGCTCTCAAACATATTCAGTTGAAGGATATACCCATAATTCAAAAGGAACTAAAAAAGATGAAAACGTTGATTAACTTTCACAGAACACCCTGGAAAAGTACAAATGAAAACACATATATTCCTTTATAGTTCATAATGTTCAGAGTGCTCTCAACCTTCATCAATTCAGCCAAACACTTCACTGTTCTGTAGCTCACACAGACCAGCTACAGCAACAAAATGACTAATCTCAGCCCTTCTCCAGCTGTAGCATCCGCTGATCCTCTGGGTTGGCCACCTCTGTAACAAGTAGCTCATCCTCAACAATTTTCCTCCCTAGAAAACCCATCAGTCCCATCAGAGATTGTTAGAAAATTCGTTAGTAACTTTCATTTAGTTTCTCCATGGATAAGATGTTCCTATTGAAGGAAAATAAGCCATGCATACAGCACATATCTAAAGAGCCTAACAGCAAGCATTTAACCCTGCTGTGTGCTCATACATTAGAGGGTTACATGATCCTTTAGTAGTCACATCAGGAAGTATTCTTTTAAGCTAGCATTAAGGCTTAGCCAGCTACAAAAGACTGGTGCATAAGCAACAAGAAGCTGAAACTTAGTTACAGGAAACCTTGGCTGTATTTGAACAGCCAGAGACTGGCCTTTAGGTCTGAGGGAATCTAGACATAAAGCTGTGTAAAGCATGCAATTACACACACTCCTATGTGTGTGCAAGTTCTTTGCAATCAACAGTGTAAATGTTCCTTGCATGGACTTTGTGCTGCATTGAGCTACAACTGACAAGGACACCAGGAAATTAAGATAACACTAAACATCTGTTAATGTTTAACTGCTAACAATCAAGTTGCCAGCTTCTATTTAGTATTAATCTTTGTTATGCAGAATGCAAACAATAGGCTGCATGACAGAGTAACTATTTTATATTAAAAAATAAAAACAAACAAAAAAATCCCAACAAACTCAAATCATAGCTTATAATGCCACTGCTCCACAGCAAGTACTTTTTACCTCCTTGTTTAGATATACATCATTAGTAACATCATGGTACTCCTCTATGAAGAACACATAATTTTTATTTTTTTTATGTGCCAGCTCCTATATTTAAAATTAAATTGTACATACTATTAATAATTGTAAACATTTGAATCTCATATAATTAGAGCAACACCCTCTGCAGCCAAATGACATTCTAACAACCATCCATCACAATCACTATCTGATACTGGATAGAAGATCAATCGTAACGTGCAGTAAATTTAAAGCCCTACTCAGTTTCCTTTGATATTTATAACTGCAACACTACATTAGAGAAAACTGTCATCAGAGCTAGTACACAAATGGCTGCACAAATTTTGGGTTAATTTATAACTGCTACTCTACTCACTAGACATTTTACGTCTCAAAACTTAGTTTAACAATTGAAGCTACAGGTAAGTCAGGAAAAATAACTTTTCAGCACAGAGAAATGAAAAATTGCCTTGGAAAAGACATTGAAATCATAATATGTAGGTTTTAGGGAGGTGGGTTTTGTTTGTTTTTTAATCAGACCACTGTAATAAAAATAGTGGTGTCACACTGCAGTTCTCTAAAAGGAGGATACAGCTCTAACTCCTAACATCTGCATTTAGTAAAGAAATTATAGATTCCCACATCTAGTGTCTATGTGTCAGTCTTACAAAAGACTGAGAGCATTTGGAAAATATTTAAAGAAATAGAATGCATGTAGAAGTTAGTCCAGTAATTTTCAAGAGAGCATTTAAAGATATTTAATGGGCTCACGAGGAAATGCAGCCACAGTATTCTGAGTAAAAACTCTTGTTAAATCCACCTCTTGTATTCAGTAAGGTACAGCATAAAAACAATCATGCATTAAAAGTGCAAGGCCTACCATAACTGCCAATGGTGGTCTCAAACTCTTTGTGTTACTGCAGAAACAGAGGAACACAAAAATTTATCACATACATGAGTTTTAGGTATCATTAACTTTAATATTAATCTTTTATACAGGCTTCTTCTAATTTCAATTGCATCTACATATAAATTTGGTAGAATTTTGTAAAGCATCAGAGTGCTTTTTAGTCTACAGTTTTTTTAATGCTTCAGCGTTAGAAAAAGTTATTGTATCATAACTGAATTCAAAAGCCTCCTCTTATCATATTACATTACATGTAACTATGAAGAAAGAATTGGAATGCCAACATCACTATTTTTACTTGTGTACTTATAAAACCTCAAATTCCAAGCTATTCCCAAATAATGATGAAACTTCATAGGAGTCACTGTAAATCTTGTATTTACACTATCAACAACTTCTGCATTCATAACTGCACCAGTAGTTTTACACAGCTATTTTAAAAGCACCCTTACAAATAAAAGTATTGCACTGACATCATATAAAATTCACAGTGAGTTTAACTTCCAGACCTTAGAAAAACAGTGCAAAAGCTTTTCACTGTGCAAGAGCTTTTTATCCAAACATTCCTGGGTCATTATGAAAGGTAATTATGTATAACATGCTGCAGTTATTTTTTTCTGTGGATTGGGTTGGTTTCCTTTTTAGTTCTCACTTCTTGGAAAGTCAATTTTAAGTTTTGAAATGATGAAACAAACAAACAAAAAAACAAATAACAACCAGATGTGATCCAATCCAACGCTGAAATAGGTGCATTTGGCAGAGATATAGGTCTATGCATCCACTTCATATAAAGTCCACTGTGATTGCAGAAATTATTCCATATGAAAGAATCTTACTGCATGGAATACAGATTTCTCCTTCCATGAATTGTAGCAGTTTCACCTCTTTTAGAGGCAATAACTTCAACAGGCTTGTCTTCAGCAGATCCTGAAAATAATACATTAAGAAATGGTTACTCCAAAGTAGTCTTAAAACAGCCATATAAAACTCTAAATCATACCTTGAAATCAGTCTTAAAAGTACTTTTCTGCATGTTTAACAGCCAGTTGGATCCCACACATGAAAAAATACAAAAACAAACAAACAAAAAAAATATCAACAGCTCATCTCCAACAGTGACCAAGTACGGATGTTAAAAGCATAAGATCATAGAATGCAAACATTGTCTCCTCAAGATATTATCTCAAATTCCAATTACTGCCCCAGGTTTTGTCCAGATGGAACATAACATCTTCATGTCACTTCTGTTTTCCTTGCAGCTTTTTGAGTTTGTAAATTTTTTATCTGTTACTTTACACTATGTCAAACATGCAACAACTCTTTGATACATTCTTTGTCATTGGAGGGGTAATAAATAATTGTTCCTTATGCACATTTTGGTACCATTTATGACTGTGCAGATGGACTTGTATATTTTATTCTCTGCTTCTCCTTTCAGACTCAAGAACCCTACTCATTATTCAATATAACTCACTTCATACCTTGAGATTTCTCACCCATTTCTACTACATATCTTTTAGAAACAAAATCAAAACAGCATATTTTGCTTACCTTGAACAAGAAAAAAACAAAACAACACAGCAAAACTAATAATCACAAGAACCAAGTGACAAAAAACGCTTAAATGAGTTTCTATAAAGAACAAGCTTCCTTATTCAAGCAACAGCAATTCACTGCACTCCCCCTTAACGTCCAGACTTCTTTATACATGTAATTCCAAGTTAATTAATCAGGAAGCTTTTGTAATGGCCAGTATATTAAGTATAGCAATTTGACTTCTTTCCCCTCCATACTTTCATTCTTAAGTAAATGTGATATGCGTACAAACAGACCAGGAATGTTTTCAAGGCTTTAGTGATTCTTCAAATGATGCTTGAAGCTGGATTCTGACATTGCTTCTGCAGACTCAATAGTAGCCATATTCTTCAGATGATTGAGGTTCACAGTGACAAGTAGCTAAGCTATGAATTCTTTATGAGTTTTGAACTATCTGTTGCAACTCTGCCTCCAAGATGCATACCAGCTGGCATTTCAATGTTTTTTTCTGTTCACAATAAAAGGAGTATTTTGTGTTGGTAGAACATGAGCTTCCTTCCTCACAGGAGTTCTAGTGGGTGCTAGTGCTTTATGGTTATTTGTTACCTCGCATTTCAAGTTGTTGTCAGCAGTTCAGCAGCAGTCAGGACCAGTTCAAGACTGCAGCCTTGGTACCCTGCCATATGACAGATCTTCCAAGGTCAACATGCCAAATTCTTCATGCTCACGCATGAATGCAGATTTATTTCATAGAATCCTTAGAGTTGGAAAGGGACCTTTAAGGGTCATCTCATCCAACTCCCCTGCAATGAACAAGGCTCAAGCTGCAATGCGCAGTTTGATCAAGTTGCCCACCCACTGATCCACCCTCACCTTGAAAGTCTGGGGCATCAACCACAACACTGGACAACCTGTTCCAGTGCCTCACCATCCTACTTTCCTGTAAGAAAAAAGTCTTTTTCCTTACAGCCAACATAAATCTACCATCTTTAAGCTTCAAGCCATTTCCCCCCGTTCTATCACCACAGCATAGGATCTGCTCCATGATCTTTCCTAGCACAGAGGTGAGACTGACAGGTCAGTAGTTCCCAGGGTTATTCTTTTCACCCTTTTTAAAAACAGGTGTGACACTGCCTTTTTTCCAGTCATCAGGGTCTTCACCTGATTGTTACAGCTTCTCAAATATCACTGAGAACGGCTTGGCAACTACATCAGCCAATTCCCTCAAGACTCTGTGATGCATCTCAGAGGGACCTATAGACTCACGGATGTCCTTTGTGCCGGTCTGTTTGATTTTGAGACATCTTAGCCTGCTGTAGGGAGCCTGCTTTGCAGGGGAGTTGGACTCAATGATCTCTAGAGGTCCCTTCCAACCCCTACAATTCTTTGATTCTGTACGTAAGCAATTTCAGGACACTTTTTCAATTTCCCTTATTGTTAGAATCAACTTTTCCTTTTTTTTTTTTTCCCTAACGGACCAATGGAGATTGACATAACAAGTTTTCATTATTGTTACTTTCCATAAGTTTAGCACGAGGCGAGAAGATTTCCTGCGTCCCCAGACACAAATGACCGATTTCCACCCAAGCCAGCTTTATTGCACGGCTCTCTCCGGCCGTGCCCGCCCCCAGCAGGACACGCCCCTACCCGGCCTCCCGCACCGCCCCCCCCCCCCCCCCCTCACCTGTTGCCGTCGGCGGGGCGGCGCGGCGGGCCGCGGGGGCGCTGCAGCTCCAGGTCGGCGGCGCGGCGGGAACGAGACGCGGTGCCGAGAACTGAAGAGAAGCGGAGGCTGAAGCCGTGCACCAAACCCCGCAGTACGCTATCCCCACGGCCCTTGGGCGGTGCCAGCCCCACGTCGTCGCGCAGCTCCTCTGGCGACACCTCTAGGTTGCCCGCGTACCAGAACACCCACCAGATGAGGCTGAGGAAGATGCCGATACCGCCCGCGTAGATTAGTAAGTCGGCGAAGAACACGTCGGCGAACACCCCGGCCAGCAGCACCGCCAAACCCACCGCGTCGAAGGCCAGCGCCAGCCAGAAGGCGGCCACGCAGCGGCCCAGACCTCCGGGGGCTGCCATGGTGGAAGAGCGACGGCGCCGCCGCCTCGAGCCGCTCGCACCTGAAGGGGAAGCCGAGGCCACGCCCCCTCCGGCCTCACCTGTGCTCGCGGGGCCACGCCCCTCCCTGAACCGCCTGCGTCGCGCCCCGCCGCCACTGAGGCGAGGGCGCTGCAGACGCCGGGCGTTTCTCCCCGGTACTGACCGCTCAGCACAGTGCTGGCCCCACGTTCGCGGAGGCCCTTTGCCTAAATCGGGCTTTCGCCCGTTCAGGCCGCTGCCCCTCACCTGCCAAGGACCTCCGTTGCGAGGTCTCCCGAGCATCGCTTCGCTTAATGGCAGAATAGCTGGTGCAGGCATTGGAGAAGATGGTCGGTAGCAGCTGTAAGCGTCTTGAACCTTTCCTGATTGCTGTCGTTTCCTGGTGCAGGTGAGCATGGGCAGCACCAAGATGCAACCCGATGTGAAGGGTTTTGCCTTGGTTAGCCAAACGTGCCAGCACCTCTACCCAGAATGGACATGCCCCAAAGGAGGCTGTTGGGAGGTAGCTGTACCGTTCCAGACAGCCTTGTGTGAGTGATTTAGCAGCCTATAGGGGATAGGATATTCACAACAGTTATAAAATGTGACAAAGCCACATAGAGAGCACATTTGAGGAGATTGGCTTAGAAGGAGCAGTCAGAACATAGCTTCAGAGTAACAAGCAGGCAACAAGTAGTGAATGCAAGTACAGAGATGAAACTGGTTTGTAAAAGGTGCAACGTTGTGTTGTAGGTCACCTAGTGAGAGTGAAGGATCTGGTACACATCTTTCCACCTTCTAACACTACAGCACAATAACTGCATGCAAGTGTAGGCTTTCCTGCACATGCTCCCAGGAGGCTTTTCTAACACTTGCTTAATGGTGTGCAGCCACTAGTAAGCACAAATACCAGACCAGGGGAAAGACACACACTTAAGAGCATGAGAAGCTTCTACATCTTTGTTGCAATGATGCCACTGAGGATAACAGTGATGAAGACTGCAATCGGTTTACTGTAGTAAGACCAGACTCTCTGTTTCAATCATAGCAGTTTGCTCACTTATTGCCTGTGTTACCAACAGTATTCAATAAAAGGTACCCGTAGAAAGACAAGCTGAAATCAAAAGGAAAAAAAGATTAAACTAGGTACTGTTTACTAGGCCTCAGTTGTTATTTCTTGCAACATCAAACAAAATACACCATATTGAAGTACAATCCAAAGTAAATGAGACAAAAGATGTAATAGAGTTACTACAGTTGTATAATCAATGGATATCAAGATGTTACAATCACAAAATAAACAAGAGAGTTAGGCGAAGTGGACTATGATAACAAGAGAGAATAAATGAAAGGCTTACCCTTATGCTGGGCTCACCACAAAACACCAGGAGGAATCTGGTGAGATCCTTCCCCACTGGTAGCCTGGCTCCACCCCTTCCGGCAGCACAGGTGAATTGCCTTCACCTGTGCTCCTCTGGCTGACTCATGGCTCACCTCAGGTGATCAATCAGAGGTTCAGGCCGTGACTCAGTAGTTCCCATACAACAGTACTACAGAAATATATACATTTATAGTGAATGAGTTCTAAAAAATGTACCTAAGTCTCTGTCTTAGGTGAAAGCATGTACCTGTTAACAAGCAACAATACACTGCTACCACTACACCAGCTTTAATTCCTTTTAGAAAGTGAAAAATGTATACAAAAATTTGTACTACAAAGAACAAACTGAGTATACTCTCTCTGCTCTTCAAATTTAATATATTTTTAACAATGTAATTGATTATTGAAGTCTAGAACTTTCAATGAATAAGTATTTGTTATTTTTGCCATTTTCCCTGGAAAAAAAAAAAAAAAGTTTTCCTAACAGATTCTTAACAGAACAGTTGATTAAAGAAGGAACTACAATTATATATATAAGAACACTATTTTTTGTCCCAACCAACAGATAGCAGTCTGATACAGAATGCATTTCCCTAAACAGGGGTTCAATTTCAGTCTAACATCCTCGAAGCAAAGTTAATACTCCATTTAACAGCTAGCAAGTAGCCACAAGGTGAAACGAAAAGACTAAGAACTGAAGTCTACCATATATATAGTTATAGAAACAATAAATGCAAATGCCCTTGCAATATATTTTATAGATATACAGATAACGCCCAAAACATATTTTAAATGGAAAAAATTGAAACAAATCAGTTTACCATTACTTCATTACTGTGCTGTCTAGAAACTTAAAATTGACCAGAGTTCTGTTCCCCTTGATACACAAATATATTAGAAATTACCTCAGTGATTTTAAGCTTTGAAAAGTGAATATAAGCAATGCAAGGAAATACAGTGGTGACAACAAAGATGATCTTTCAAGTCAAGTACATCCTTGTTGTATGAAGTTTAGGGAAAAGAAACAGGTTTGTCTTCTTAAATGTGAAGAACAGCATAGAAGAAACCCAAGTAGAACAGAACACTTTAACAGAATATAGGAATTCTAAGAAAGATTGTAAACTGGTAGGAAATAGTAAAGAGAGACAAGCCATAAGGTTTAAAGAAGATACAGTATTTTAAGAAATTCATGCTTGTAGTTTAAACAGGTAAGACCATATTAACGAAAATCACAAGCACTGACATCTGCTACATGAACGTGGAGTTTAGTGAAGAAGGAAATCCCTGTGCATGAACTCTAAAACATACAGAGAATGTGGAAGTCAGGTGGGAGGAAAAAGCTCATAAACTGTGGCTGTGCAGTAAGAACAAAAATATAACTTTGAGCTGTTCTGCAGCTGAACTTAAGCATACAGCTCGACATCCTTCCAAAATAATGTTGCTCAAACGCAACAAGCTTTAGAAACCAAAAGATTTAAATTGAAAGATACAGCTGCATTTTTTTTTTTTTTAAAAAAAAGATGGAAAAGATGTAAGGTAACAAATACAGCTAATTAAAATAATGTGTTTATTCTTCCATTAGAAGGAACTACAAATTAATCATTAAGCCAGTGAGAAAAAGCTCCTAGGGTCAGCTTTTCTTAAGAAGGCATGTTACTTTATATTCATGAAAAGACAGCATTGAACAACTACATAAAACGTTACAGTAGATAGGCAACATTCACGACAACTGTGGTCTGCACACTTTCTTGGCTGCTTGCTTGGGTGTTTTGGAAGATTTCTTGGCTGACTGTACTAGTTTGCCAGCTTTGTGTGTAGCAAAAGACTTTGCTTCAGGCTTTTTAGGAGTCTTATCCAGCTGTTTTATTTCTTCCTTTTCCGTGCTGATCTGCATGGTTTTTTTTTGTTTTGGTGACATCTGCAAGTCTGCCCGCTCTTCTGTAACTTTCTGTTTCAAAGTTTCTGGAGCAAGAAATTGTTTCTTTCTCTTACCAAGGGTTGCTTTTGTTTTATTGACCAGATTGACACTTCTTTCTGGACTTGGTTCCTCTTTCTGTAATTAAGACATACAGGAAAAAAAAAAAAAAAAAAAAAAAAAAAAAAAAAAAAAAAAAAAAAAAAGCAAACAACCAAGCAACATTACGTTTACAAATAACAAACATTTTTACTGTTATTGAAGAGATTTAAAAGAGCCATTATAAGGAACAAATGCTTTCTATCAATTACACAACTCCTTAGCCCAAATGATTTACAGAGTCACAGAATGGCCAGGGTTGGAAGGGACCTCAAGGATCATGAATCTCCAACCTCCTTGCCACATACAGGGCAACCAACCTCCACATTTAATACAAGACCAGGCTGCCCAGGGCCCCATCCAACATGGCCTTGAACACCTCCAGGGACAGGGCATCCACAACCTCTCTGGGCAGCTGTTCCAGCACCTCACCACTCTCCCTGACATGCAACCGAAATCTTCCCTCCCTCAAAACCATTTCCCCTTGTCCTGCAGTTATCAATGCTTTCAAAGAGTTGATTCCCCTCCTCTTTGTAGGCTCCCTTTAGGTACTGAAAGGCTGCAATGAGGTCACCCCGCAGCCATTTACTCACATACCTTGCCATAAGTAGAAGGCAAAACACAGAATTAGATCTGTGTTTATAAAAAAAACCATAAAATATAAAAATAGTTACAAAGCAAATAGATGGAACAGATACAAGGATGTTCACCCTCTTGGCTAACTAAGTCAGTACTCTGCTGGCAGAGCTGAAATCACAGTAAGCTTGCTACATGTCAGGGCTTAGATTTGATAGGCACAGCTCTTATTCAAAATCCAGCCATATCACCGAGTGACTGTGCTTTGTGTGTGGATCAGGCATAGTATTCCCTAGAGATATTCCCAAACGACCCTCATGAAAGAGAGCTGCTTTCACAACAATTCATCCAACTCAGCTTCAGCTGTAAGCATCCCAGGGCTCTGGCAATTGCATCACATGAACTGATGTAGGCCAGCTGCATGACAGCAGCTTGAAGGAAACAGATTTATTTTTTTATTTTTATGTTGGGCTGTACATAATCACAGTAGCACAGACATCCGTTCAGACATCTCTGAACAGATACCTATTAAGGCTATGCTCCAATCACAAATATAATTTAACTGAGTTGAATTTAGAAGCCTTACAGTTTTATTCATCCATTGTCTTTCCACTGGGTATTTCTTAGGCACAAGTAATGCAAGTTTGGCTGTTTTGCAAGTATGTTAGCGATGCAGTCCTCATTACCTCCAATATTGACAGCAGTAAATATGTACAGTTTCACTGCAAGCTGCTCTCAGTGCATATTATGTGATCATTAATGTTGCACATAACTATTCTAGAGTAGGTGTTATTTGTTTTTCAAGTTCTTCACTACAGGTAGGTGACAATAAATTATTATTATTTTTTTACAAGAAATTTTGAATTAATCAAATAAATTATTTAGTTTTTTAAAGGATCAGGCTCCTATCATTTTTAATATTCCTTCTGACTTCAGACCTGTTAGATAAGCTAAATGGCTGCTATTCAGGAAAAGACAGAAAGAGACAAACACTGGCTTTCTTTACAGGAGGAAATAAAACCAAACAAAGCATCCCTCCCATTAACTGAGCTCTCACTTTCATGTTATTTTTTTAAGAAAATATAGTTCATTTGAAGTATGTTAAAAAAGTATGGTGAAAAATTATTTACATGGTTTAAAATATTTAGTTTTAATTGGAGTGTTTAATAATAAACTCACAATTACCTTTAGCTGAGCTAGGCCGTTTATTTGCATAGGCACCAGTTGTGGAATTTCTTCATCATCAGCATGTTCCTCTGGTTCTTGGACTACTTTTTCCTTTATCGCAAGCTCTTGGGTAGCAGCAGCACCCTTATTTTTAGTTGTCACTGTACTTTGTCTTGAATTCATCTTTTTAGCTGCCTTCTTTGGTTTCTTTTTCTTTTCCTTCTAGAATTAATTTAAAGTACAATTCAGAGAAATCCCCACAACATTTCTAAACATAAAACAATTGTTTTCATATGTCTAAAAGTAACGAAGTCTAGCAACAAATTGAAATGTTTTTCAATTGAACTGGGCTGGTCAACCGTAAGTAAAATATGAAAAAAAGATGTGTTACTTTCAGCATAGGGGAAACTCATAAATAAATGATATAACTGTAAAGATTAAAGTTTTCAAGATGTATGTATGTGCTACCAATTTGTTTTAGAAACAGATGTAACAGACAGAACACAAAATAAAGGGATAGCTGTTTTTACTTTTTAATGTAGATGAAGTTCTCCCCACCAATCCTCTGCAAAATAAGATACAAATATCTAAGAGTGGGAATTATTCACATGCCACAATCGACACGGTCTAAATCCATGTATATGTTAATGAATGCAGTTTCAGTAAGTGAATATGAATAAACAAATATGAATTCAAGCAGAAGTTCTGAGAAGTAATCTCAGTTGAGTTGACTAGAAACCAGCTTATTTCCAGCTTGGTTTGTAACCTCCTGGGGGAGTTTCAATGATTTCTTGCTACCGTGTATTGGAAGTGCTCATAGTCAGGAGTGCCTCACCCATTTGTAGCCATACTTGCCTTCAATCCACTGATCAGATTTGTAAACCCAACAAGTTAGATTTATACTGCATAAAAAGAAGCCAAACAACTAGTGGCTCCAGTACAGTTTTATGGAAAGTTTTACATTTTTTTAAATTGTTACCTCTCCTTGCTTTTTATCGACATTCGGCTCTTTATCAAGCTCATCTAAGTTGGATATTCGTGCAGTAAAAATTGGAAGTGATACTGATTTAAGTGTCTTGAGGTGAAGAACTTTCACGTTTTTCCAATTCTGCAAACACAAAACAACATCTATTATGTAAGAACTGTCGTGGCCTCAGCTACGTTGTTCATAATTCGATCCAATGAATCCGCAGTACCTTTGGTAACTTCTTAGCAATCACCTCAGCTGCTGCAATGATGTTGTCTAGTATCTCATCAGCTTTCATTCCAGTGTGGCCTATACGCGTTGTACTGGAAGTACGAAAGAGTAATATTTATAGGTAGACAAGTAAAAACACTAAGTTATTTGTTCTTAAATATACCCAAAAATGAAAAAAGCCCACTTATCTGCAGCTATCTTGGTCTTCACACAGGATGGCTGACTACTAAAGAATTCTTTTGTCATAAAAGTCACAACAGTTGCACATACTGAGTTTTCTACATTATGAAATGCAATTCTGCCTTATACTGCCGAGATAGGTTTAGATCATTTAGACGCACTATAAATGAAAAAATTCTTGTACAATATTTTGGGAGGAGTTTTTAGCTAATTAAACAGTAATTATTTTTTAGGACCATACATGCTATTTGTCAGTGATACTTGCCTAGAAATTCCTTACCTATTCAGAAAAAAAACCCCAACTTTATGACTTCTTAGTAAATAGAATTATGATTCTCTTTATACAACTTAAGGTTCAAAAAGACCCATACCTAGAACGATCACCCTTGACCCACTGTTGAAGTTAATGGGTGAAATAACTCAGAATTCCTACAGTTAAGGTATAATAGCTCTTCATGCACAGTATTAAGCTGTTCATACTTACTAACAGCACCCTTTGTTGGTAACTGGTAGTACAGTACCCTGAATATGCTTTTCTAGCTCCTTAGCAAGATTTTTGGCTTTCAAGTTTACAGATAAAGGTGCCCTAAAAAAAAAAAAAAGTGAAGGGAATAAGAGTTAAAAAACAAAACAAAACATCAAGCAAACTAGCAAACCTTCAGTAGAACAATCAAATCTTTAAAAAATAATAATTCAAAACGGATAGACAAAATTTTAGGACCAACTTTTTCTTTTCATAGAAGTGTTTTCCTAGATGGGAGGGCAAGAGCCTTCTGATTCGGTCATCAGATAGAAAGAGATCAAATCTGTTCAGGAGGCGACGCTTTGCTTCAAAAGGTTTATACTCTTTTTTGAGAGTTTTGTAGGAGATGACCTACAACAAAAGTAGTTGAAAACACAGCAAACACAGCAGTGAGTACTTCTTATAACTGCACATAATTAACTTGTCTTAACTAACAGTTATGTTTTAGAACGTTAAATCAATAGAAAAAAAGACACTGGTTTTCAATTTTAAGAATCAGACAACACAGATCCCTTGCACAGTATCACCAAACAGAACCAGAACACACAGCAACATCTAAACTTAGATAAATACAGCAATAGAAAATATTTTCCTGTTTTATTGTGAGTTGTATAAGTGATTCAATCCAGCTGCAAAGGGCTTGAATATTCTGCACTGTAACTAAAAAAGTTCAAATCCAATACTTAACATTTATCTAACAATTATACCGAATCCAAAACTCAACATTTACCTAACAACTACACCTGAATGCTACAGATATAATTTTAAGTTATTCTGAATAAATTCTGTAATTTGAAAAACGAACAGTTTGAATACTCAGAAAAATCTTCTGCGAGATTTACCTGGAACCACTGAATTTAGAATATTAAGTAGCAGTTTCCCTTTTCACTGGTACAAGAAAAACACAGTGATACTGCACTGCATCATCAATCTCCCTTACCTGGCTAACAGTCGTGATTCCATTCTGGGTTAGAAGTTTCCTGTAAAGACTTTCTGTCTGTTCTGCAGACAGATCTGGTTCGTCCTTTGTGAACAAGCACACCTCAGCTGTTTCTGCTCGAATGCCGTGGGGCAGCGGTCTACAATAAGAACATAGATGGAAAGGAGGCAAAAAATGCGTTACAGAACTAGGTCTACACTACTGCAGGCGGGCAGCGCTCAGAGCCAGCCCGGGAGGTGCCACAATGGGGCCGCGGCGCTCCGACTCTCCAAGCCCACAGCCTGCACAGCGCTCCTTCCCTAGTCAAAGAACACGAGAACTCCCGCAGCTTCCGAGCCAAAGGCACGTTTCTTACATTTTGATTACTTGAGCCACGCGTGGGATCTTCCAGACCGTCACCAGGAGGTGCACGCTCTCGTTCTCGTTGAGGAGCAGCTCGTCTCCCTTAGCCTTGCTTCTCGCGAAAGCCAGAAGGGCCTCCACCGCCTTCCTCACCTGCAACAACAATAACAGCTGGAGCGGAGCGGAGCGGAGCGGAGCCGAGCCGAGCCGAGCCGAGCCGAGCCGAGCCGAGCCGCCACCCCTCAGTACCTGCCCACGCTCCAGCTTCTGCTGCCCCTTCGCCATGGCTCCACCCGCACACACGTGCAGTCGCCGCGCCTGCGCACTGCTTCTTTCCGGGCACGATGCGGCCTGCCCGCCCCTTCCGCAGGCAATGGCCTTCTGTCGCGTAGGGGCGGGGCGGGTGTGGGGAGGTTCTTTCCGCTGCTGGTCCGAGGAGGAGTGGTGTGCTGCTTCAGACGGAGTACGGAGCGTAATCTTTACTTCAGACCCCACTGCTCTGTTGCTCTTAGATTGCTCTCCTGGTATATCTTTGAGAGTGGGTGGAACGCTTGCTGCTCTCCAGCCCTTGGAACCTTCCTCAATTTCCTTTCACAGCATTAGAAGCTGTTGACCTTGATGGCCCCAGATACCCTCAATTCTAAGTGAGCTTTTCTCCTGTGGCAATGCCTACATGCCCGAGCAACGTTTCTAGGTTCCTTCTTTGCAGCCTGTCCTTGGTTTTATCTGGTTTTACCTGTATTACTGACGTTTTGCACTGGAATGCAGCTATAAGGTCTCTATTTAGCCAAGCCAATCTCTTGATAGATTTGCTTGTTTTCCAGTGTGAGAGAGTGCTTCCATTACAATTTGCAGGGGTTGTCTTCACAGCTCTGCTGCCAGCCTTTCTGAGCACCTTTGCCTTTCAGAGCTGCCTCTAATGAGACCCCACCTCCTGGTTGCCAAAATCTCCCTCCTAAAGTCCAGGGTCTGTTCTCTGCTACTCATCTTCTTCACACCCCTCAGCATCTCAAATTCCACTATTTCTTTGTCACTGCAGCTGAGGCCACCATTGACTATCACACATAAAACCACTTATTCCTTATCTGTGAACCGTAAAAGTAGAATTACTGCATCTCTGTTCCAGTTTAGAAATGTACTAATTGGAAACAGCTTAGCCGTGAAATGCTTGTGCCACCTAGTGGCTTTTTTTCTTCACGTATCAGCATAATTTTCTACATGCTCAGCGTGCTGGTATACAGAGAAAGGAATTAAAATACCCTCCTCAGGAAAATCACCTTTACGTAATAATGTTTTCACTCTGCTGGTAGTATTCACAGTGGCTTCGAGGCTTCTCCAGCATTGGTGACAACCTTTGGTAGCAGCTTTAGCATTGCTTAGTTGCATCTTCACGGTTTGTAATGTCACAGGCGTACGGGAAGTAGAAGATTGCACACTATTTGACTTAACGTAAGTTGCTGTTGATAAGTCATGTACTGATTGATACTAGTGAAAAAAAATCCTTGAAAATGGAAGTTTCACCTTTCTATTGTGTGATTTTTGGACAAGTACCTTAAATGGTTGCTGTGTAGTTGTTGTATGAAGTTCTTGAAGAGTACGTAATCAGGCAGACATTAAAATCTTTTTAGCATTGCTAGGATTTATGTGTACTGTGATGCTGGCAGTGGTGTTTTATAATCTGATAATTATATTACCCTTTCTCCTATCTTTGCACAGGCCTTGCAATTTTTTTAGCTGATGTTTTAATAAAACATCAACATATTTTTGTATGATGTTAAAATAAAACATAAAAAGGTAACTCTTTGAAAATAAGCTAGACTGCTGTTGTAAGAGGTGAAAGAAGTGTGTTTGAAGCCTGACTGTACTAAGTCAGTACAGCATTATTAAGATAAAGGGACTGTTATTTTGAGTTACTATTATTAATGACTCAAATTAAAAATTCTCACATTTCAGTGTCAACCAAACACATTTTTTCCCACAACTTTTGAAGTTTGATGTGACTGAATTTCAGAAGATACAGTTTAACCAACTTAATAGGACCATTTTCTCTTGAGAGGTGTTTAATATAGTTCACAGAGCTGTCATGGAAAAATAAATTAATCCCTGGATAAGAACAATTTCAGCTTAGTACATGAGTTGCATGCAATGGGTATAAACTATGAACGGCACACTTTTAGTTTGGCAAATTCACAGTTATTCAATTTCTAAAGGAAATTAAATATTACTTTTGCATATGTTGTCCCTGCACACCAAACATGCTCTGCTGTAGTGGTCAGTTTAGGTCTCTGCTTACAAATGTGTGCATTTTTCTCTAAGTCATGTCACACTTATGTAAATGTGATGATTTAAAATTACTTACTTGCCAGCCATTCCACATTATTACTTAAATGTTGCTAAATAAGACAGTATTTCTATATCACCCTAATTTTATACTTTGTCCTGGCAAAGGTGATGTACAAGCAGCAATTATTTCTGCTGCTAACAGATCTTTGAGGTTTAAGATTGGTTCTTCTACTGTGCATTCCAAAAGTTCCAATACCAGACTTGTATTCCTCCAACTTATCAGATGGCAGATGTAAAATTCCTAAATCTCACTTGATAAAGTATACTTCTTGCAACAAAAGCAGCACAAAGAATACAGAAATTAAGGAAAAAAAACAATAAAAGAACAAGTACACTTAAAGAGACTTCAAAAGAGGATCCCCCTGCTACTTCTGGAGTTCAAACAGTGTTCTTTAGATTGAGTTCTTCTGTGTAAGCATCTAGCTATAATTTAATTAACTGCCAGCTAGATGGGTGCTTACGTGCCAATTTATTAAAGAACTACTGTTTCAGGAGAACAGAGGCACCTGTCTTCGTGACACAAGCTGTACAGTTTTTTTTGTTAAAATCCTTTGCCTATTATCAGTTCTACAGGCTTAACAAATGACAAGAACTCAGTCTCAAGTACATTCTTTTCATCCAAGTTTGTCTATCATCTATTACTTTTCTTATTCAGAAGAATTTTTTGTATCTCTGTAGTTAACTGAAGTGAGATGTAGAAAAATCCAGTTTACATTGGAAGTTGAGACTTTGATGAAAGCCTGTTATTAGAAGTTACATATATGCACAACAGATTTCACTTTTGTTAACATAAGTTTCCATTTTATATTAAGACTAGACTACTTTCTAGCATTTCTTCAGAGGAAAAGAAAGATTTTGTTACAGTTGTAGTGTGTTAAAATAAACACAAGGAAATAAACAGGTACACAATATAAAATCTTCAGTAGTAACTCCAGTTTTGTTGGTATATTTTCCTTTAGCAAATCCTCTGTAGGGCATACAAAAACAGCAGAAAAAGTAAGAGCCTTTAAGTTTCAGTTCAGGAAGAAGACAGTCTTCTGGAGTACATTTCGTCTGCTTTAACATCATCATTTAAACACTCTGCATTAAGAACAAAAAGGCCAGAGTAATACAGAATCAAATACTTGGGACAATGGAAACAATCTTTTTTCTTAAGTAATATTCATTAATAAACACTTATAAAGACACATTTCTCATAATTAAAAGTTTGTATGGACTGGCACCATAATTGGTCTAAACCAGAGATTCTTCATTGAGCAATCTTTGCTGGGCCTTTATGCCATGAAAAACATTTGTATAAGGGGATAAAGTTCACAATCAGCAAGTATCTCCACGGACAAGCTTCTTTAGAGCAGCCATTTTTCTTACAACACTATTATACCATCATCAATTGCTTACTATTTAAGAATACAGTTTACTCCCAGAACAAGTGTCTCAGGAAATCAGTTCCATCACGTGTTTGTGTATTAGTTCCCAACTGTCCGCAAAGATGACCAAGGTAACCAGAATGATTTCAGGTAGATGGGTAATGGTTATGCTCATCAACTGATGGCTGTGCTCATCACTCCATTTAGTGTCCTTTACTTCTTGCAAGATACAGAAACAAGTAATTTTTGTGTTGCAAATTAATTAGTACAGCTGCACACTTTAACATTTAATAATTGTTACATATATCAAGACTTTAATTTAAATGACATACAGGGTCTTAATTTACATTGTTGTCATTTGTTTTTGTAATTTACATCATGGCTGTACATTGAAGCCATATCTATACTATAAACTTTGGCCAATAATCAGGGAAAATTGCTGCAATCCTGATGAGCACCGCACAGAAAGGTGCTGTGTAAATGCAATTGTACTGGGGGAAAAAACTAGAATCCTTCCTTCCTTCCTTCCGAAACTCCATCACAGTTTTGCTGGTATAAGTTACAGCCCAGAACCCAGGAATACTCTGCTGGTATCACAGATAATAGCAAAGCTGCAGTGGCAGTAGTCCTAGGGTTGCCTGTAGCTTCAGTCCAATTTTTCTTGTTTGCTTGCTTACTTTTTTTTTTTTTTTTTTTTTTTTTTTGCACGGGGGGGGGAGTTCATTTTTTTTTTTTTTCAATCTTCAAAGCAGCATACCAGATTTTGATAAAAGGAAGTGCTCAAAACGGTAGTTAAAAAAAAAAAAAAAAATTACATTAGGGAAGCAGCAGCTAACAATTATTTCAAGCAAAGCTGCACTTTCCCCCTTTCCTCTAGATCTAGCTGAACTTGCTAATTGTAAAAAATGAGTCTATAAAATGTAGAATGGAGGTGTAATGAAAAAAATCTGAGTCTGTAATTACTCAAATATAATGTACTCTCATATCCTCTATTTAAAATGCAGGCAATTTTTGTACATCTATACATTTTCATATCATTATGGTATAGAGTGTAAGTACTTTATTCTCAAGTATAAACTTAACACAACTTAGTAAACCTAATTGCAATATGTAAATTCTGTTAATGAACTTGAAACAATTTAGTTTCCCTTTCTGGGTGAGGTGACAGTTAACTGCATTTATGGGAGTGGTAATCAAATGCTCGAGATGAGTTATGGAAATGCTAAGAGACGCTATCTACTAGCACTTCAACCCACCAGATAATTTCTCATTTTGCTAATAAATACTAACTCCTGCCTCAATGTAGTGAAGTTTTACAAATCCTCATTAAGTTTACAGTAAAGAGAAAAATTCCACTGGAGCACCACATAGTCTTGAAATGCATTTGAACAACAACAACAAAAAAATTAAGAGTTCTAGCAATTTAGGAATTACATATTCTCCACTACTAGTAGTAAATTTTAAATTCATGAGCTTGCTTCGAGAAAGAAATACAAGACTTGTAGAAATCTTAAATTAATCTAGAATAAGAAAAAGAGTAATTTTCCTTGGCTTTTAATTTCTTCATTAGTTTAAGAAATAAGGAATTATGGTTTTTGTTAACTTAAGGGGGGGGAGGGGGGGG